CAGACAGAGACACACACACACACACACACACACACACACACACACACACCCCACACACACACACATACACACACACATGACCAAGTATTCGCAACCAAGGAGGATTCTCTCGGGAAGGGTGCAGTTAAAGAAAATAATCCCTAAGGTTGAAGCAGGAGCATCATGGTAGAGTTCTTGCCTAGCATGTATAAGACCCTAGGTTTGATCCCCAACATTTCAAAGATCAATCAGTCAACCCCTTTATGAGGCAAAGCTTCCCAGATCATTGGGGTTTTGGTTTCTGTCATTTTAACTTAACCCCAAACCCCTCACTCAGGCTTTTCTACTAACTCAGCAAAAACAGCATAAATAAAAAGAGCTGTGAGAATTTGTCTGACCTTCCTTGGAGACTAGATCTTTCTGCAGACAGGACAGCTATCTCATCTTTCAGGTCTCGGATCTGTTTCTCATACACCTCATACGGCTCTGTGTCCAGCTGGTCTGTGCTCTGCCTGGCCGGGCCCTTCTGCTCAGTTTTATACTGCTCTTGGAGCCTAGGTGCACTGCTCCTGTGGCGGGCAACCTCCTGGGCTTGGAGGGATTTAAGCCTGAACAGTGGGGAGAGGAAAGAAAAGGACATGAAAATGTAAAGGGAAAGGAAGGGAGAGGGAGGAAAGAAGGAGAAAGGAAAGGGAAGAAAAGGTGGGCGATAAGCAACAGTCGGTATGCTAAACATCATTAGTTGTGTCTCAGTATGCCATTGTTGCATTAGAAATGTGCTAGAAATACACGTGAATGAACAGAAAGCAGAGAACAGAAAGGGCAGAGTCAAGGTGCTGGTACACATCTGCACCTTGCATGGGAAAAGGTTCCTAAAGAAAGAACACTCGGGTTCTGTAGGAAAAATAGTGTGGACTTACAATCCTACTGTTGTACACTGGACTCATTTCAGCTTCACAAAACTCTGAAAACACCTGACCATCAAAACCTAGTCCAGAGCTGGTCTAAGATATAGTCTCCTGCCCTCTCTAGTTCTCTGAATAGATGTCTTGTGAGGGGAAGACTACAATAGAAATTGAATATTATTCACAGCACTAGTTGGAACTGTGGATGTATGAAAATAATGTACTACAGAAGCAAATTTTTTTAGAAATAAAATTGGCATTCCCTTGAAATTCCAACACTATATTTCACAGAACTAGAAAAAAGAATCCAAAAATTCGTTTGGAACCACAAGAGACCTAGAATAGCAAAAGCCATTTTAGGCAACAGTCACATGGCACCAGGTGTAACAATTCCCAATTTGAAACTATACTACAAAGCCACTGTGATAAAAACAGCATGGTACTGGCAAAGAAATAGGCCTGAGGATCAGTGGAACAGAATGGAAGACTCAAAAACAAATGCAGATGTACTCAGCTACCTCATCTTCGACAAAGGAGCTCACCATCCTCAGTGGAGGAAAGATAGCCTCTTTAATAAATGGTGTTGGAAAAACTGGATGTCAATCTGCCACAGATTAAAATTAGACCCTTATCTTTCGCCATGCACTAAATTAAAATCCAAATGGATTAAAGATCTAAATATTAAAACAGAAACATTAAACTTGCTGGAAGGTAAGTTAGGCAGAACTCTGGAAGACATTGGTATAGGAAAAGACTTTATGAACAAATCCTCAGTAGCACGGGAACTAGCAGAAAGAATCAACAACTGGGATCTCATATTACTAAAAAGCTTCTGTACTTCAAAAGAAACCATTAGCAGAACTAAGAGACAATCTACAATGTGGGAAAAAATTTTTACCAGCTGTACCTCAGACAAAGGACTATTATCAAGGATATATAAAGAACTCAAAACAATCAGTCCCCCCAAATATAAAGACCCGATCCAAAAATGGGCATCCGAAATGAACAGACATTTCTCATACAAAGAAGTGAAAGCAGCAAGAAAATATATGAAAAAATGTTCCACATCACTGGTCATTCGAGAGATGCAGATGAAAACAACACTGAGATTCCACCTCACCCCACAAAGAATGGCTGCTATCAAGAAATCACACAATAACAAATGTTGGCGGGGTTGTGGGGAGAAAGGAACCCTCCTCCATTGTTGGTGGGAGTGCAGACTAGTGCAACCACTATGGAAATCAATATGGAGATACCTCAAAGAGCTTGGACTGGAGGTTCCATTTGACCCAGCCATCCCTCTGTTGGGTATCTTTCCAAGAGAACTAAAAGAATCATATCACAGAGAAGTATGTGCACCCATGTTTATAGCGGCACAGTTTGTAATAGCTAAATCTTGGAAACAACCTATTTGCCCATCCGTTGGAAACTGGATAAAGAAGTTGTGGTTTTTCTATAAAATGGAATATTACTCAGCCATAAAGAGCGAGAGAATAGATTCATTCATAGGAAAATGGATACATATTGAAGATATACTCCTAAGTGAAATAAATAAGTCCCACATGTGTAAATACCAAATAGTTTCCCTGGTGTGAATATTCTGCAACAATGCATAAGATTCTAATAAGATTACTGACATTTAGAAATGGGAGGAAAGGAGCTAAAGGTGTAGGGAAGGTGTGATACGTAGGGGAAGAACAAAAAGGGAAAAGAAAAAAATGTGAGAGAATGAAAAGATGAAAATAAAGTGTTTGTAGATGGGGAGGGGAGGAGGGGGTGAAGGGAGGGCAGAGGCAAGGGGAAAAATGAGAATCAAGTCTTGCCATGTAAAGGTACATGATCCCAACAATGAATGTAACTGTACTGTATCCCCAAAATGTACCAATAAACTCAATAAAATTAAAAAAAAAAGAAATAAAATTGGCATTCTCATTAAGATCCAAAGAGCTATGGCCAATATAAAACAGGCAAAAATGATAAGAGAACACACCGTGATAAAAATGACAATGGTATACAATGAAAAGGCAAGAAGTAAGATTAAGAAAAATGCAGAGGCTAAAACTGTAATGAGATCAGAAACTAAAAAACTGTACAGAACAAACAGGAGCTGTGGGAATCAATGAGTAATGTGACTGCTGAATTTGAGAAGGTGTACCAAATAGAACAGAGATTAAAATAAAGGTGATCAAGGAGACAGAGGTAGAAAACAGCAGTGTTATAAGATAAGATTTATAGGTCTTCCAAAAGAAATCAGAACAACAGAAACATGTATGAAAACGTGGCTGTATGTGTATGTGTGAGGGGGGTCTCATTTACGATCAAGAAGGGTATAAGCTTGAAGGATCTATTCTTATTTTCCTCTTCTAGAAATTGATCTTTAGGAAATCATATGAAATTTAAATGAAGATTTTCCTCAAAATTTTACACAATGCTGTTTCCAGTGCTGAAAACTAGTATCCAAGTAAATATTCAAATAAGTGAAATGTCCAAATAATGGACAATTATAAACCTATTTGAAACTAGATTCTGTAGTATTTTTCCTTAGTGAAAGAAGAAGCCAATGTAAATGAAAAGGTAGTATCCAAAGCTTTATCCTTATATATATATTATTCTGTATTCTTCTTTTTTTGATATATTAATTAAAAGGAATATCAAATGGTCACCAGTAACTGTCCCTAAAATTATGTGGTTTTTAGATATCTTTCAACTATCTTGTGTCTTGGAAATTGTCTGCAGTACATAAATAATATGTTTGTAATATGAAAAATACATGACATTAATTTAAAATATTGCTGTCTTTTCCCGTTGATTGAGAACAGATTCTTTCATATAGTAACAAAACACCAAAAAAAAAAACAAAAACACTAAACTCAACAATTAATCAGCAGGCTGCAATAATCCTATCATTTTTTTCTTACTGCTTTTTTAGCTGATTTATTTTCTCCTCTGCAGCCAAAAGGGATATGGCCGAGCTCTTCTTGGTTTCTTCAAGAGCCTTTCCAGTTTCAGCCAGACTGTAAGAGAAATCAGTAACTAAAGACAGATTTTTCAAAATTGGCAGGCTTTCCAAATCAAGGCATAGGTTCTCTTGGGGATTTTTGGCATATGATATAAATTCAATATAAACAAAATCAAATTACAAGACATCTGCACTTAATCAGACAATCTTGCAAATACTACGGTGGATGTGTATGCAAAAACATTTTAGCAGCCTTTGCTCAGTGTCAAACACAAAGAAATCACAGAGCTACTACCCCTAAAAGACTATTAATAACTATTAATATTACAATGTAAAAGACAAAAAACCTTGTTCAATTCCTCTTTCTCCCCCTCCTAATCCATCTACTCTAATTACACTCAATCTCCAGGTTGCCTTTCCATATAAAAATCTCCATTTTTCAATAATATACCAATATCTAGTCTCATTGTCTTGCAATATGGAGCTACATTTGACTGATTGTTCTCAGATTTCCTAAATACAAAAAATTCGTTTGCTCACCTATAAAGAAAGTCTTCCCCAAACACTGACTACAAGTGTTTCATACTTGTCTGCCTCTGACTTCTACCAGTTACTAAGCAAAGTTAGCATCAAAATGGCAATGTTAGACAGTGGATGCTGGGGGAAATGGACCATGTTCACTCGGGTCTGTTTGTTAATGTTCCTAGCTATGCAAGTGCTAGTAGCAGAAAAGCAGGTCACAATGAAAGAATTAAAAGAGAAACAAAGAAAGATCTTTCACTGTAAGACGGTCTCAGACTCTAAGAGTAACATTCAAGCTAAGTCACAAAGAGTACGACAGAGTCAGCCACACAAGAGCCAGTGGCAGACTAAAGTTCTTTCAGGCCGACGGAAAAGCACGGGCACCATGATAAGGAAAGGCCCAAGAGAATGGCATGAGACAAGAAAAGAGTGGAGGAGAGGCCAGATCAGGCAGGGCACTGAAAGCCAAGGTAAGGAAACTAGAACAGTAGGAAGACACCAACAGTAAGACATACTTTATGGATATTTGATATCTGGAAAATGAATTGAAGTTGGCCAAGAATAGAGGCAGGGAAGCCGGAAAATGGAAAGCAACTGTCAGTCAAGATGTCAGAGATAAGATACCAGCACTTTGAATATGGCAGTGGCAGTGGAATAGAGAGAAAAGGACAAGTGTGAAAGGAGCTCTGGAAATAGATCTCCTATACCTTCTAGTAGATTGGATACAGGACATGACAGAAAACAAGATTCACAGTCAGAACCCACCCATAATATCTGGCTGTCTTTCCTCATCTGGGGTTTTGTCAAGCCTGTGCAGACCTGTCTGCATCGGCCCTATATAACACAACTGAGTAAGAAGTAAACTGGTCTCCACCGAGCTCGAGCTGGGGAACCTCCTCCTCCAGGCCATTCAATCCAGGGCAGGCAGCACCTGACCTTAAGAGACAAGAGGAGTATGAGGGAAGAGGGAGTTGGCTGCCATAGAGTCTGGGAACAGACTCTACCAATTAGGGTACATTAAATAAAATTACAAAATAAGAGCCACAGTGGGCTACAACTCAGGAATTCAGGGGAAAGCAGCAAGCACCCTCATGTGTGCAACTTTCACATGGTTCTGGGAGGGAAGAAGCACATGATACCTTGGTTGTCCAACAGCTCCAAGCTTGAGCTTTTCACTATTTGAACAGCAAAGTTTGAAAAAAAAATCTGCTCTGTGTTGGTAACTGCTTGATAGTTCAAGCAAAATCTGACTTGGAAAACCTGTACGGGCCAAGAGTGAGTCAAGAATCATGTCTCACCCCAGAGGCTAAGGGGTGACTCTTCGGCCTAAGTGCCACTCACACAGACAACGTGCTGTGCTTGTGTTAATGCATTAAAACATTTGTCAGTGTGATTTTTTTCCCACTTTCTTTGAATAAAATGTCATAACCGTGGCTCCAAAGAAAGTTAGTGATATCAGCAGTAAAGTTAAGAGGAAGAGTGTGAGAACCACAATAGAATTAAAGAAAGAAATCATTGTGAAATTTGTTAAAGTCCTGGAAAAATGAATTTTTAAGTGCAATTTTCGGGCCTCAGAACCAATTATTTGGTTTTCCATTTTTTTATGGGAAAAATATGTTCAGTTCTCTAACTTTGTATTTAAACACAAAGTTGCAATGAATTGAGTTCAACAACAGAGGTATCACAGTATATAGATAAAGCACACACATACATCATAAAGCAAGCAAGACAAAAGACATGCAAAAGGGAGTGTGGATGTTGATAGGACTATTCTTGCAAATTTTCCATTTGAAATAATTTCCACCCAATATTAAAAAGAGCACATATTCAAAAAAGTTTCTTGGTCCCTGGCTCCCCTTATGGGAAATAACAAAGTCACTGTAACAAGAAAGGGAAGTGGAAAATCCTGGTCCCTAGCAGCGCTGACAGACATCAAGACCAACAAAGTCCTGAAATCTTGCCTCATACCCACAGGCAACTGGAGGGCCCTTGTCACCTGCAGCAAGCACCAGCTAATGTCCCAGAAAACCTACAAGACAGGGCACAGCTCAGGAACCATCAGCACCATTAGCCCAGGTAGAACCTAGGGCTGCAGGAACGGAGAGGGCAGTATAAGACCAAAAGTCTCACTGCAGCACAGGAGAATACACAGCATCCCTGCGCT